CTGGTGGGAATGCAGACTGGTGCAGCCACTGTGGAAAACAGTATGGAGTTTCCTCAAAAAATTAAAAATGGAACTCCCATTTGACCCAGTAATCCCACTTCTAGGAATATATCCTACTGGGTCCTTCAGCCAGCAGACCATGGAGTCCCCCTACCAGGACGGTCTAAATTCAGGGATAGGAAGGTACTTTAGTGAGTCGGACTGAGAGCTCTGGAGGATGGGGTCACGCCAGTTGTAGCTCTAAGCACCTCCTACCATCACTCAGTGAGGCCTGGTTCAGAAAGAGCCCCTGGCCTGCGAGTGCTAATCAGCCTTGGCCAGAGCAGCCAGGACTGTTGTGTGGGTGTGTGGGGTCCAGAGGCAGAAGTGTGGGACTTCATCCACATTAACCTCTAGGCTTCACAAAGCCTCTTCCTGCCACCCCACCCTTTTGCCCCACACTGGACAGGGCAGGGAAGATTTACAGGGTGTAAGCTGCCCAGGGGGGCACAATGGGCTAAAGGCTGGCAGTGCTCCCCAAAACCACCCAGACAATGGGGGTTGGCTCCCCTGTAACCTGGCAAGGAAACCTGTATTATGTCAAGTGTATTGAGACATAATCTTTATACAATTAAATTCACCCTTTTTAAGCATATAGTTCAATGAGGTTGGCAAATGTGCATGTTCATATAGCAAAAGAAACCACCATCCAGATGTACATGTCTGTCACCCAAAAATGTCCCTTAGCCCTTTAAAGTCAAACCCCTCCTCCTACCCCTCCTGAATGACCAGCTGTCCAAAACTGCTGATCTGTGTTCCGTCCCTATCATTTTGTCTTCCCCAGAATGTCAAGTAATGGAATCATTCGGGTTGTAGCCTTTTGAATCTGGCTTCATTCACTGACCATAATGCTTTTGAGAATCATCTGTGTGGTTGCAAGTATCAATAATTCCTTTCTTTTTATTGCTGAGGAGTGTATCACTGTTGGGATATATCACAGTTAGGTGGACATTTGGGTTGTTTCCAGTTTTGACATTTATGAATCAAACTGCTTCCTGCATTCACATACGGGTCCTTCAGTGGGCACATATTTTCATTTCTCTAGGGTTAAGTACCCAGGAGGGAGGTTGCTGGGTTGTAGGGTACATGTGTGTTTATCTTTATAGGAAACTCACAAACTCTTTACCAAAGTTGGTATACTCCATCTTTGTTTTTGTTCCCATTGGTGGAACAGTTCTCTCGTCATCAACAGCAGGGCCACTGTGGAAAGACCACTAATTCAGTGAGAAGCTCAAGTGATTGAATAGTTGTAAAAAGTTTTGCTGTTTTGGTTCCTTAAGGACCAACCACAACTCTAAGGATTGAGGTGGGAGTGACCATCCCTCCATAGGGACCAAGTGCCCTGGTTTACCCAAGAGTCTCCAGGTTTTAGCTGAAGGTCTTACGTCCTGGGACACCCTTCGTCCTGGGATTAAACTGGGACAGGTGCTGTGCCAGGCACTGTATATCCATCACATCATTGTATCCACAGGGCAGTATCAAGGGTAGGTTTGCTTGTCCCATCCTGAGCACAAGGGAACAGCCTTTGGGAGGTTAAGCTGATTTTCTAGCCCACACTCCCCAGTAGGTGGAGCCAAACATTGGCAACAGGCCCACCAGACTCCAAAGCACTGGTGTCTTCCTGGGCAGGAGACGCATTCCCTAGGTGCTGAGATGTGGGCCTGGTGGGGCTTTGCTGCCCTCTGGTGGCAGATATGGTGGCGCTCTAGGTTTGAGTCCACTTTTATGGGCAGAGAGGCTGGTAAGGCACCCTTTTTTCCCAGGGAGCAGGACCTCAAATCTGGCCTCAGCCCTAGAAGGGTGGCCCTCACAGTATCTGCTGCGGGCCTTGGTCCATCCATCCATGAGTATGTCATCATTTAAGGCCCCACAGACCCAGAGCCAGACTGCTGGGTTTGAGTCCCTGTGACCTGAGCCAGTCACTCACCCCTTGTGGGCCTTAGTTCCTTATCTATAAATCAGGATGATAAACATGTTAACACACTTAGACTAAGCTCAGACTGAGGTGATTATTACCAGCTCCTTCACACCCACATGCCTTAACTTTCCCACCTTTGTACACTCACTCACTTCATTCATTCACTTCACTTTCATCCAGCAGTTATCTACCAAGCACCAGCTCTGTGCCAGACCCTGAGCTGGGGGTGCCAGGGATATGGCTCCCTCCTGGCTTTGAAATTTTCCACTGTCTCATGTGTTTATTCCTTCCTTCCCTCATTCACTCACTATGGTGTATCCATTTATTTATTGTTTATTTTTTTCAATTACAATTGACATTCAATATTATTTTATAGTGTTCATTCATTTTTCTCATATTTTCACTCATTTAGCTTCCTTATTCATTCATTCACCCATCACTTGATCATGTCGTTTACATGTTCATTCTTCATTTGTTCAGGCAGTTGTGACTCCCTCCTCTCTCTCCCCTCATACCCTTGTTCTGCAAGCATTCTGGAAGCACCACTCTCCTCTAGGCCAGGATTAGATGCTGGGATTCTGGCTCAGCTCTGCCCCCAGACTTGGGAGTGGAGAGATGGTGAGGACACATGTGATATCTCTCCTGCCAGCCACTGGGACCCAGAGCAGGGGAAGCACCAGAAGAAAGCAACTGCCTGCCTGGAGGAGGGGGCTGGGAGCAGTCATAGGTTTCACAGAGGAAGTAGCATTTAAGCCAAGCTAAGAAGGGTGTGTGGGGTTCTCCAGGGAGGAGATGACACTCCAAGGAAACGTGTGTGTGTGTGTGTGTGTGTGTGTGTGTGTGTGTGGTGTGTGTGTGTGGGGGGGGTGTGTGTGTGGGGGGTGTGTTTGAGGAAAAGTGAGGTGCTTGGATGGCTGGAGTGCGTGATGTAGGGTCAAGTGTCCCTGACCATACCCAGGCCAAGCCCTCCCTAGGTTCCAGTGTCAGACTTGAGCCTTTGAAGAACCTGCCCCTGGAAAACCACCCACTATCAGGCAGCCAAGAATGGCCTGGTAGTGTTAATACAGGACCCTGTCACAGGAGCCACCCGTCTAACCCTTGGACACCCAGTGGACAAGCTATCCTGGGCGGAGTAGGCTGAGGAGACAGCAGTAGTGGGAGCATCTGAGGTACCTGGCCCCCAAGATCCCATGGTCATCCAGCAAATGTTTGAGTGCCTTACTGTAAGCCAGGCCTTGCCCCAGACACTGGGCAGACAGCAGTGAATAAGACAGAACTGCTACCCTCTAGCAGGCAACAAATAATAAATGAGAAAACCAACAATTGTGAAGCCCACCAAGAACATACCTGTAGCTGAACAAGTTGGGTTTATTACCTCTCTAGAAGGAAGACTGTGCTTACTTCAGCAAGAGAGTAGGTGTTAAAGAGGACTTAGAGGATTTAAGTTTTGGCTAAGTGATTTGGGGAAGGGTTCACGTATGGGGGCTCCTATTCTGGATTAGATGTTTTCAGGAAGCAGAGACAATTCTATGATTGGATGTCTTAAATATTTAAAGTGGGAGGAATGAATTGAGAGGCCAAAGCTGTAAAGAAGCAGCAGTTACTCATATTAGTGAGAATGGCAAAAATGTTCAGTCTTTTTCTGGTTCCAAAGATATTCATGTTTTTCAATCAAAAATGATTACAGAGACCATCCTTCTAGTTGTTAGAAGGGATGCTGCCCTGTTCATGAATTGCTTAATAAAGCCAATTAGATCCTGGAAAAATACAAACAAACATGCATACCAAGCATTCTTGTTCATGTCCCGCTCCATCACGGTCACTGGATGGCCTGACGTGATGTTGGTGCTCTGGGAACGTGATGTCCAACAGGAGAGCACCAACGCCCAGGCCAGCTCCCAGATGTGAGGGGCAGTTCTCTCTTCTTGGTGAGATAGTCCCCTTCACTCGGCTGAGGTATATTTGCTGGGTGCCAGCTGCAGAGTAATTCGAGGTGGGCAAAAGAGGTAGGTCCCAGTCCTTAGGAAGATGTTTGCGCAATCTTAAATAAACAGGTTGTCAGAATTGGGTAGGGTAGTCAGAGAAAGATAAATATCACATGATCTCACTCATTTGTGGAATATAATGAACAACATAAACTGATGAACAAAAACAGAACCAGGGACAGAGAAGCATGGATCAGATGCTCAAACCTCAGAGGGAAGGCAGGGGAGGGTGAGGGTAAGAGGAATAGATCAACCAAAGGACTTGTATGCATGCATATAAGCCTAACCAATGAACACGTGGGGGGCGGGGGGAGGCATGAACGGGAGTGGTGTGGGGGTGGGGGGCAATGAGGGGATAAGGACACATAGGTAATACCTTAATCCAGCGGTTCTCAACCTGTGGGTCGCGACCCCTTTGGGGCGAAGGACCCTTTCACAGGGGTCACCTAAGACCATCGGAAAACACATATATAATTACATATTGTTTTTGTGATTAATCACTATGCTTTAATTATGTTCAATTTGTAACAGTGAAAATACATCCTGCATATCAGATATTTACATGACGATTCACAACAGTAGCAAAATTACAGTTATGAAGTAGCAACGAAAATAATTTTATGGTTGGGGGTCACCACCACATGAGGAACTGTATTAAAGGGTCGCGGCATTAGGAAGGTTGAGAACCACTGCCTTAATCAATAAAAAAAAAGAAAGAATTTAAAAAGAAAGAAATGGGTAGGAGAAGTGAACCAGACCCAAGGAAGAGTCAGGACAAAGGCCCAGGGCGGGAGGGGAGGCCGAGAGCCATTAGAAGCAGAGCTGCCAGCGGAGCCGTGACGCGGACTGGAGAAGTCGGAGGAGCAGAACCCTAGGAAACGCCGGACTCGCCTCCCCGGACACGGCTCGGCTGCCGGGATTGACCCAGAAACAGGAAATGAAATCGAGCGGCTGTGATCAAAACAGCCGCCCGGCCTCGGGCTCATGAATATTCAGCAGCCGGCGACTCCGCCCAGTTCCGCCCAGCTGGGAGGCTGCGCTTGCGTCGCGGGCGCGTCTCTGTCGTCAGACGTGCGCGCCGCCGCCGCCGCCGCCGCTGCTCGGGAGGGAAACCGGAGAACTGTCATGGCGAGTCCCGCCGCGTCCTCGGTGCGACCGCCGAGGCCCAAGAAAGAGCCGCAAGCGCTCGTCATCCCCAAGAATGCGGCGGAAGAGCAGAAGCTCAAGCTGGAGCGGCTCATGAAGAACCCGGTAAGACGGAGCGTGGGCTCGTCGGCCGCCGCGTCCCACCGCCTTCCCTTCCCTTCCCTTCCGGCGCCTCTGGGGGCCCAGGGGCCCACCGCCCCCGCCTGCAGATTCAGGAGTTCATAACCCGAACCCCAGCGCCGGCCCTGAGTGAGGAGTAGGCTGCCCCGGAGACAGTGAGCCTCCTCCTGCCCTTAGGTTACAGCCCGGCCAGGACGGGCGCGCTGTGGGCGGCTTCCCGTGCTCCAAGACCGTTTCCGGTTTAACTTTTTGTAAACAGAAGCGTTAGGCTGTAGAGATAGAGCCTGTGGGTTAGCACCAGGGTTATTTTCTTCTAAACTGTACCTCGTTACCCAAGCCGGTGTGGCTCAGTGGGTGAGCGTCGCCCCCACGAAGCGTGAGGTCACGGTTTGGTTCCGGGTCAGGGCACATGCCCCTGTTGCCGTCCGCAGCTGGTGGATGATTCTCTCCCTTTCCCTTCCTCTCTCTGAAACCAATAAAAACATTTTTTTAAAATAAAAAATAAACAGTACCTCGTTAGAGGCATGGGGGCAAGTCGCTCACCCTCCCCAGGCCTCGGCCCCATCAGTTACAAAAACAGTTGGATGAGCAGGTCTCATGGATCTTAGACTAGAAAGGGTTGACTCTTGTGCAGTGTAGGGTTAGAGTTGGAGGCCAGCCATACATGGTGACTTCCGTTTCTGAGTTCTTCTCAGAATAGCCTTGATGAGCCTGTGGGCTGTGATAGACCCCAAACTATACAGGATGAAGTAAAGCTAAGGCAGGGAAGAAATCAGCTTTGAGAACAAGGAGCAAAGCAGCCTTATTTCATGAGTCTAGTTAAAATCCTTTGGTTATAAGAGATGTGACTTTGTCAGCAGGTTTATACTTATAAATGCTTTCCTGTTGAAATGTTTCAGGACAAAGCAGTTCCAATTCCAGAAAAAATGAGTGAATGGGCACCTCGACCTCCCCCAGAATTTGTCCGAGATGTAATGGGTAATGTCTTTTGGGGAGTGTGTGTGTATGTAAATATAATTTTTGAAGTACAAATATAAAAACCCTGCAGTTAGTATATGTTAATTAGATTTCTAGTAGGGAAAAAAATGTTCACTGGTCCAGTATTTTGCTCTTACAACAAAGGGGTTTGGCATTAGAGAATTTTCTTATGCATTGTCTTTAATAATGCCTTATATTGGTTATTTCTCCATGGAATAGTTTTATTATTTTGTTGGGTTGTGAATTAATATATTCTAATTAAAAAGAAAAAGAATAGAGGTATTTAAAAAGTTTGAACCACCTGTAATTTCATCGTTCCACTTGTAACATTCTGAGATAGCCTTCCAAACCTCTTTATAGACAAAACCACTGCTGCTTAAGAAAAAAATGTTTTTAGAAAAATATGGTTGATCTACACATACTATTTGGTAACCAACTTTTTCACTTAATGGACCATGGATATATTTTTAGCTCAGAAATGTAACGTAAAATCACCTGGTGGGGAGGGAAAGGTCATAGGCTCTCTTCTAGGTTTCCGGTCACTGAACTGCATTCTATTTCTTCTCTTAATACTGCATTAGAGTGGACTTTTTAGTGAATTCCACATTCACAAGGATGCTTCCACTGTACACTAGGTACTGTGCTAGATTCTGCAGTATAGTGGGGAGTAGGCCGGGCCGTCCCTTCCATTATTGAGTTTCTTTCTTTGGTCACTGTTAATTAAAGGGAGCCTGTGTTGATAACTGGAGCTCATCGAGAACTCTGAACTATCCTGGCTGTAGGTTCAAGCGCTGGCGCAGGCAGCGGAGAGTTCCATGTGTACAGGCATCTGCGCCGGAGAGAATATCAGCGACAGGACTACATGGATGCCATGGCTGAGAAGGTCAGTGAGCAAGGAGGCTGACTGAGCGCTTGGGTATGAACAGTGTGCACTTCATAACTTTTAGAAAAAAGCATTTGAAACAGAGTAGATACACCTGGTTTGTGTAAGGGCTACCTTTTAAAGTCAGCACCAGAAACAGACATCAAGTAGAGCCCAGTTAATCCTAGGCCAGACTTAGCGCCGTCAGATAATCACCTATGCATAGAAGGGCGCAGCCCTTCAGGCCATTTGCCATGAAATTAAATAGAAAGCAGGATCTCTCACACCACTTGAGCTATTATTTCTCTCTTATTCTCTCTTTTTGGCTGAATACCTGTAATTCCAGTTAGCTGTGTGTTTTCTGTGAATACTAGTGTGCTTCTATGTGTCTGCTTCTTTTAGTTTTCTAGCGTGGCAGCTGGCAATTCTTCTTGACAAGTGTCAAATAATAATTGATTAAAAATTGAGAACTGCTTTAGAAATTATACTGTAAAAACTGCTAAGCATTACTTGGTTAGAAGGGCCAGAAATTTCTTGTTTAAAAAATACTCTTGAACATATCACTTGTTTTATTTTTTGAATTAAAATTTGGAGTTATTTTTTTAAATATATTTTTATTGATTTTTTACAGAGAGGAAGGGAGAGGGATAGAGAGTTAGAAACGTCGATGAGAGAGAAACATCGATCAGCTGCCTCCTGCACATCTCCCACTGGGGATGTGCCCACAACCAAGGTACATGCCCTTGACCGGAATCGAACCTGGGACCCTTCAGTCCACAGCCCGACGCTCTGTCCATTGAGCCAAACCAGTTAGGGCAAATTTGGAGTTATTTTATCCACACCAAAAGTCTTGCTGGATTTTTCACTAGAATTGAGTTGAATATGTAACTTTAATTTAATTTGAATGAGAATGGATGTTATAGTGTTGGTCATCCCTTCAAGAAACTATGTTTTTTCACTTGTTTAAATCTTTTTGTATCTCTCTGATGATTTGTGGAGGTGTATAGTGCTCCTATATTTGCCCATCATACTATTTAATCAAATATTATTTGGCTGTTTCTTTGTGGTTTTCCAAATCTGATTTCTCCTCTTAACATTACACATGATGCCCTAGCCCAGTGGTCGGCAAACTCATTAGTCAACAGAGCCAAATATCAACAGTACAACAATTGAAATTTCTTTTGAGAGCCAAGTTTTTTAAACTTAAACTATATAGGTAGGTACATTGTTATTAACTTAATTAGGGTACTCCTAAGACTTAGGAAGAGCCACACTCAAGGGGCCAAAGAGCCGCATGTGGCTCGAGCGCTGCAGTTTGCCGACCACCGCCCTAGGCGATTTTGCTCAATTATTAGAGCATTGGCCTGTGGACCGAAGGGTCTCGGGTCACCAATTCGATTTCTGGTCAAGGGCACATACCTCAGTTGCAGGTTTCCCAACCCTGGTAGGGGCACAGGTAGGAGGCAACCAGTCGATGTGTTTCTGTCACATCAGTCTCTCTCTTTCTCTTTCTCCCTTCCCCTACCCCCTTCCACTCTCTAGAAATCAATGGAAAAAATATCCTTGGGTGAGGATTAAAAACAAACAAGCAAAAAAAAACAAAACAAACAAACATTGGGCATGAGAGATTGCCCCTTGTTCTTAATCTTACAACACGCAGTAGAAAAGTCCTTTTCCTCAGTCTTCTCATAATGGCTGTTATTTCAGGGAATACATTTATACATTTTGAGAGATTCAGATACTTTAAAATGTCTGCTTTTTATGAAAGAGGAAACTACCCAATAATGTTTCATTTTCCAATAATTGGATTTAAAAAATTAGATTCAGCCCTAGCTGGTTTTCTCAGTGGTTAGAGCTTCAGCCCACAGACTGAAGGGTTGCGGGTTTGATTCCGGTCAAGGGCATATTAACATCGATTGCAGATTCGATCCCCAGCCCAGTTGTCTGTCTGTCTCTCTCTCTCTCTTCCTTCCCTCTCCCCTCGCCCTCCACTCTCTAAAAAAATCAATGGAAAAAATATCCTCGGGTAAGGATTTAAAAAAATAAAATAAGTGTACAGTAGGATCCGGAGTCATTTTCTGGCGAGTTTTACCTTTATCTTGGATTAGTCTGGCTCTAATTGGTTTTTGTTCTGGCTTCCTGACTGTGGTGATTTAAACCATCTGCTCTTGGGCCTCTTCAGTTAGGGAGGTTAGGGTCTTGTGATTTATTAGCTAGCTGTTAATTGCTCAGCTGTTTCCACCCCTTGTCTCAGTTTCCTCATTCCACTTTCCAGATAATTTTCCTATTTTCTTACTACCCTGCTTCAGTATCTTAGTGAACAGAGTTACTTCACCTTCACAATCAGAGAGCCCTGTATTGATTTCCCACCCCCTCTGTGGGGCAACCACTTAAAGTTGAAGTGGCCCTGGAGACCTAGATATACCTAGGGAATTTTTCTAGGAATTTATTTGAGCCAAACTGAGGACAGCTGCTGGGAATCAAGATCTTAATTAAATACTTTCCAGAATGGCAGTTTGCAGCTGCTTTTATGCATTTGGAATTGAGGGAAGTAAGGTAGAGAAAGTAAGGCTGAGATTGGATTACAGGATAGTTAACCAGATTATGTGCTCCCTTGGACGAGGTTACTTCTGAAAAGGCATTTCAAAGTTCTGTTAACCTAGCTGCACCCCCACTGGTGTGACTTTTGGAGCTCTCATATCCAGCCCACAGTGTGTCTAAATGATGTGGGTTTTTTTGCAGCAAAAATTGGATGTGGAGTTTCAGAAGAGACTGGAAAGGAATAAAATTGCTGCAGAGGAGCAGACAGCAAAGCGTCGAAAAAAGCGGTAAGGGCTTTGTGGCATCTCATAACTAATGAGACTTAAGGGCAGGAGATGGAAAGTAGATGCATGGTTGGTGGATGAGTCCTTGCAGTCAAAAGTTTACCTGTATAACCTTTAGAGGTCTTGGGTGTTTAACCCGCCATGGAGCAGTCCAGTAGAGGAATGGCTTTTCTTCAAATTTTCCAGGAGAGATGCAGACATTTACTGTTCCCCTCCCCCAGCTGGTTACAACTTCTTCAAAGCTTGGAGGTCAGCATTTCCGTGATCATAGGGATTTCTCTTCTTCACTTCTGTATTTTAACCTCAGGTTTAACTAGGTGCTGTGATTGAACTTCTCATTTAGCTTCTTCCTTAAATTAGGGCCTGTGACCTCCCTAAGTGACTGTATAAGTGTACAGGTTGCATGTTGTGTATGTTTTAATAAATACTCCCCTTATCGATTTAAGAAATGTCTAACCCTGTAGGGAATTTTTCTAGGAATTTATTTGAGCCAAACTGAGGACAGCTGCTGGGAATCAAGATCTTAATTAAATACTTTCCAGAATGGCAGTTTGCAGCTGCTTTTATGCATTTGGAATTGAGGGAAGTAAGGTAGAGAAAGTAAGGCTGGGACTGGATTACAGGATAGTTAACCAGATTATGTGCTCCCTTGGACGAGGTTACTTCTGAAAAGGCATTTCAAAGTTCTGTTAACCTAGCTGCACTAAAACAATGGCCTGCTTAAGGCAAAGATAAATCTTTTACAAAAGTTATATGCTTGGGGCGTGGCTGCCCATCATGACCTGCCCAGTTAGGGATTTATGATCAGGTCACCCTATGAGGGTACTTTCAGTAGAACCCCGCTTTTATAGTGCTGAACAGGATTTTTCAAGTCGCCTCTAAATACCTTGGGATGAAGAACCATCTCCATTGTTTCTGAGATGCTTTAATCACCTCAGGAGGATTTCTCTTGATTCCTGAAGAAAAATGGCTTGATAATGTTGATGGAGTAGCAGAATCATAAAGTATTTCTTTCATTTTATTAGTGTAGTGTTCGTGTGATTATAACATCTTTAAAGATCCTATAAGTAGATGTTTCTAATATACAGACTAAGAGATTAATGTACTTATATTACATCTGTAGCCAAAAGTTAAAAGAGAAGAAATTATTGGCAAAGAAGATGAAACTTGAACAGAAGAAACAAAAAGAAGGTGAGTAATACCCACTTTTTTTTTTTTTATATATATATATATATATATATATATTTTATTGATTTTTTACAGAGAGGAAGGGAGAGAGATAGAGAGTTAGAAACATCGATGAGAGAGAAACATCGATCAGCCGCCTCCTGCACATCTACTGGGGATGTGCCCGCAACCCAGGTACATGCCCCTGACCGTAATCGAACCCGGGACCCGTCAGTCCGCAGGCCGGCGCTCTATCCACTGAGCCAAACCGGTTTCGGCAGTAATACCCACTTTTCTTGGTTGTGATCTTTCATGGTGTTGCACAGAAGCTGACCTGCCAAGAATAAGATTTAGAGTTTGGAACTGATTGGCTGACCAGTGAAGAAATTAGGGCTTACTCTGTTAGTTAGGGCTCATTTAATTGCAAGTGTCAGAAAGCCAAACTGGATTAAGCACAAAGGAACATACTAGCTCATGTTAAGTCCAGGACAAACCTTCCTTCAGTCATGACTAGTAAAAGAGCTTCGAGTTGTTATTGGCATTCACTGTTTCCCTCTGCCCCTTAGCATCCTGTCCTCGGGCAGGCTTATGTCGTCCCTGTGGTTGTAGGATTCCTGAGGCTGTACCCTACCTCATTCTTGTCCAGTAAGAAAGATTGAGATGTCCCTAGCAAAGGTGTTTTTGTGTTCCTCTGTCTCTGAATTAGTCACTTGGCAAGTCAGTTAAAAATACTTTTGGCACCACCCTGGCCAGTTTGGCACAGTGGATAGAGCATCAGTCTCTGACTGGTCCCAGGTTTGATTCTGATCAAGGGCATGTACCTCAGTTGCAGGCTCCATCTCAGACCCCAGTTGGGGTGTGTGTTGAAGGCAACCAATCAATGTGAGAGACACATTGATGTTTCTGTGTCTTTCCCCCCATCCTTCTCTCTCTAAAAAAAAATCAATGGAGAAATATCCTCGGGCAAGGATTAACGAAAAAAAGAGTGAAAAGCATGGCTAAGTGGTTGAGTGTCAACCTATGAGCTAGGAGATCACGGTTCGATTTCTGGTCAGGGCATATGCCTGGGTTGCCAGCTCAATCCCCAGTGTGGGGTGTGCGGGAGGCAGCTGATCAAGTTCATCACTAATGTTACCCTTTCTCTCTCTCCCTCTCCCTCTCCCACCCTCCCTTCCTCCCTCTCTCCCCCTTCCTCTCTGAAATCAATATAAATATATTTTTAAAAAAGAATAGTTTTGGCACCCTGGCCAGGTGGCTCAGTTGGTTAGTGTCATCCCATACACCAAAAAAGGTTGTGGGTTAAATGCCCGTCAGGGTGTGTATGAGAGGCAATTGATATTTCTCTCTCCCTTCCTTACTCTCTAAAAACTCAATGAAACAGCCTCAGGTGAGGATTTTTTTTAAAAAAGACTGCTTTTGGCTGCAAGAAACAGACAGACTCAACCAGCAGTAGTTAAACAAAGAGGAATTCATTTTTCTTATATAATGGGAAACCTGGTGATAGGTGGCAGCCTGGTATGGTTCAGCAGTTCAGTAGTGTCAGGCCCAACATACCTGCAGTTCTTTTGGCCTTTGTCCTATGGGCGTGATATGGCTATTGCAGCTCCTGGCATCAGACCTATGTTCAGAACAGGAGGAAGAGGGAAAAGAAGTGCTACTTGCCTAGTGTGGTTTTTTCCTGTAACTGAAAAGCAAAATATCCTCTAGAAATGCTCAGCTGTTGTCATCTTATATGTCATTGATCAGTACTAAGTCACTTTGCCATCTCTTGCTGCCATCAGGCTAGATGAGTAGATAAAAGAATTGTCATGACTATCGTTAACCTTTCGTGATCCATCATTGAGAGCTGGATACATGGCACCCTAGATAGAATTGAGTTTTGTTAACAAGGAGGAATAGGAGGTGAGTAATGTGTCAACATACCACAGTGCTGCAGTCTTGCCTACCTTTGAAACTATCACAATGCCAGAAATACCAACCACTCACCTGAGAGCCCCTGAGCTGAGATTCAGGGACAGAGGGATCCCAGATAGGAAGGAAGGACCCAGGATGCTAAGAAACAAAAAAAAATTGCAACTCTCCATAACATTACTGAATCTGTGGCAATTCCCTGATTGACTAAGCATATTTCCTGATTGGACAGTTGATTTTTGGTTTTATGATAAAGTCAGACTTTCACTGGCATATTGCAATATGATTGGACCCTTCAAGGACCAGTTTCCTTCTGAGTTATAAATGTACTGAGACACACTATATATGATATGGTTTTTGACTAGAAGAAATTCTTTTAACGATGCCTGGGGAAGAGGCTGTTTTCTACTGAGTCAGATTGAATGAAGGTAATCCTTGCAAATGTAAGTTTTCAGGGAGCTGCCAGACAGGTCAAATAAGGACAGACCTCTGTGTGTGGAACTTCTGAGGCACTCCCAATGCAGCTTGTCTCCTCCAGCGGTTTGTAGGCTGGTACTTTTCATACCTACTGTGATTATGAGGCTGTTGACTTTGGTGACTACCTTGGGTTTATGGAGAGGGTAGGGAATAGGACAAGTTAAAACACCACAAAGCTTACTGTTCTGACCAGGATTCAGCCATTTTTCTTAAAACAATCCAAGGAACATTTCCAGAGTCTGAGCATTATGATCCTTTACTCACTGGATCATGAAATCATTTTAGAGGTTGCAGCTATTATTTTTTCAAACATGAATAAAAGAGACAGGAAGCTATTCATTACACTCGGAATAAATATTTTATGAATCTTTCCATTTCTATGTCGGCTGTGGGCTATGGGCTTTAATCAAATTTGAAAATCATTGTTATAGTGCATGGGCGCTGCCTGTTCTTATACTTATTAGTGAAGTTAATATCTGTACATATTTAAAAACGATTAGTGATCATGCATGGTTGAGCAAGATAGGGAATGCTATAGGGATAACTGTCAAAAATGGTTTGTGTGCTCAGTTTCCTTTTGTGAAAGAGAAAATAGATTTTCCAGCTGCCTGTTTGAAAAGAATAGAAACTTAAATGTTGTGATATTCTGTTGTGCCATAAGGTGGCTTCTGTGTACTGCTGGGTTCTTGATGGACTTGGAGTAAATCACTCAAGCTTTTCAGCCCTTCTAAAAGCAGTGAGGGGCAACTGGCTAGGAGTTCCGTTCTGTTGTTGGAGAGGAAGTATCCTTGCTTGTTGGCTTGTTGTCTGTGCTGGTCCAGTAATTTAATTAAGACACCATGCAGTGTGGGACTCGAATCTGAATGACACCATGGGATTGCATTAAGCCAATGTGGATTACTATGAAATCACTAGAGGCCCAGTGCATGAAATTAGTGCACTGGGGTGGGGGGGCGTGTCCCTTAGCCCAGCTTGTGCCCTCTTGCAATCTGGGACCCCTCAGGGGATGTCTGCCTGCCGGCTTAGGCCCAATCACTTGCCAGTCATGAGCCTGACTTCTGGCTGAGCAGCCCTCCCCCTGTGGGAGTGCACTGACCACCAGGGGCAGCTCCTGTGTTGAGCATCTGCCCCCTGGTGGTCATTGCGCATCATAGCGACTGGTCGTTCTGCCATAATGGTCACTTAGGTTTTTATTATATAGACTAGAGGCCCGATGCACAAAATTCATGTGGGGGAGGGGAGGGTCCCTCAGCCCGGCCTGTGCCCTCACAATTGGGGACTCCACGATCAGGCCTAGACTGGCAGTGGACATCCCTCTCGCAATTCAGGACCCCTCGTTCTTAACCGCCCGCCTGCTTGCTCCTAACTGCCCACCTGCTCGCTCCTTACTGCCCGCCTGCTTGCTTCTTACTGCTTGGCTCACTGCTCCTTAGCGCTACCGCAGAGGCAGGAGAAGATCCCACCACCGCCGCTTCACTCACCAGCCATGAGCCCGGCTTCTGGCTGAGCAGCGCTCCTGCTATGGGAGCGCACTGACCACCAGGGGGAAGCTTCTGCATTGAGCATCTGCCCCCTGGTGGTCTGTGCATATCATAGCGACCGGCTATTCCACCGTAATGGTCGTTGGGCTTTTATATATATACTAGAGGCCCGGTGCACAAAAATTTTTGCACTCGGGGGGAAGGGGGGGGTTCCTGAGCCCGGCCTGTGCCCTCTCGCAGTCTGGGACCCCTCAGGAGATAACGACCTGCTGGCTTAGGCCTGCTCCCGGGTGGCAGAGGACAGGCCCAATCCCTAGGTGCAGCCCCTGGTCGGGCCCAGAGCAGGGCCGATTGGGGAGTTGGGGCGCTGCTCCTGTCATGCACAGAGCAGGGCGGATCGGGAGGTTGTGATGCCACCCTCAGTCACGCTCAGGGTAGGGCTGATTGGGGGGTTGGGGCACCGCCCCCTGTCACACTCAAGGCAGGGTCGATGGGGAGGTTGCGGTGCCACCCCCATCACGCACAGAGCAGGGCCAATCAGGGGGTTGGGGTGCTGCCCCTTGTCACTCACAGAGCAGGGCCCATCGGGGGGTTGGGGCTCCGTACCCTGTCATGAGCAGAGCAGGGCCAATCGGGGTTGGGGAGCTCCCCCCTGTCACTCAGAGAGTAGGGCCGATAGGGGAGTTGGGGCACCACCCCCTGTCACAGAGCAGGGCGGATCAGGGGGTTGGGGTGCCACACCCTGTCACACTCAGGGCAGGGCCGATGGGGAAGTTATGGCTCTCCCCCATCACACACAGAGCAGGGCCCGTGGTGGGCAGTTGGGGCGTCGCCCTCTATCACCCACAGAGCAGGGCTGATCATGGGGTTGGGGCGCCGCCACTGTTACACTCAGGGCAGGGCCGATGGGGAGGTTATGGCTCTACCCCGTCACACACAGAGCAGGGCCCGTGGGAGGGGGGAGGTTTGGGGCACCGCACCCTGTCACACACAGAGCCGCAGGGCGATCAGGGGGTTGGGGATCTCCCCCCTATCGGGCACAGAGCAGGGCTGATCAGGGGGTTTGGGCGCTGCCCCCTGTCACGCTGATCCCGGTGCCAGGAGGCCTCGCGGCTCCGCTGATCCCAGTGCTGGGAGGCATATTACCCTTTTACTATATAGGATAGAGGCCTGGTGCATGGGTGGGGGCTGGCTGGTTTGCCCTGAAGGGTGTCCTGGATCAGGGTGGGGGTCCCCACTGGGGTGCCTGGCCAGCCTGGATGAGGGGATAATGGCTCTTTGCAGCTGGTCACACACCCTTCAGGGTGGGGGTCCCCACTGGGGTGCCTGGCCAGTCTGGGTGAGGGGCTGAGGGCTGTTTTCAGGTTGGCGGGTGACGGAAGCTCCCAACCGCTCCTTTTTTTCTTTTTCTTTTTTATTCTGGGCCAGCATTAGCTCTGAGGCTTGGCTCCAGCTCTTAGGCCTCCGCTGCTGAAAGCAGGTATCTGGTTTGTTTCGGTTCTATAATCGAAACAATGTATAACTCCAGCTCTGAGATCCTGGCTGGCTGAAAGCAGGTTTCTGGGGTTTTGTTTAGCTTCTATATTTGTTACAATGTTTCAAACTGCCGACTCAGAGGCTGGCAAGGTAGGCGGGGAACGTTGGAGTCCTCCATCACTGAAGCAAGCAAGCCTCATGTTAGTTTCAAGCTGCCTGGCTCCCAGCCGCCATCTTGTCTGGCAGTTAATTTGCATATCGCCCTGATTAGCCAATGGGAAGGGTAGCGGTCGTATGCTAATTACCATGTTTCTCTTTTATTAGATAGGATAGATATTAGAAACCAAGATCTGGGGACTAGGTATGCTCTTTACTACTAGGGTGTTGTTACTTTTAGGCCTCTTTAACTGATAGAGGAAGGAAGTATATATGTGTTTACTAAAGAGTGTATATATTTATAGATATTTCTATATGTAACCATCTATATCTATCTATGTTAAGCTAAACATGAGTTCATACTGATGTCTCCAACTCTAATCCATTGCCACATGTAATCTAGCCTTTTCAGCTTGTTTGCATGTAACTTTCCACTCTAGCAGTGAGTAACTTATCTCTCACCATCCACCATCCTTTTATTTAATTGTTCAATTTCAGTATACATGAATAGTGGTTTCAGAATTGTTAACCTGTTATCTGTGGGAAACAACTTTATCAATTAATACAGTGCAATGTACAGTTCTTTTTGCCTTTACTCTTACAGACTCTGCTATTTCCAAAATTATTTAGGTCAACATCTTTCCTTCATCCCCTTCACAGAGGTTTCATCCATTTGTAATATAATTTAGTTCATATTTCACATTTCATCCTGGGATCCTTGACATCCTGAAATTTGCATACATTAAAGTTTATTCTTTATGCTGTAAAGTTCTGTGAATTTTGACAAATGCATAGTATCATGTACCTACCATTGCAATATTATGTATAATAGTTTTCCAAGCCTTAAAAAATTCCCTGTGCTTCATTATTCAACCTCCTCCCCACCCCCAATCCCTGGCAGCCACTGATCTGTTTACTATCCCTATAGTTTTGCCTTTATCATTTGGTTGGAATCATGCAGGATGTAGCCTTTTCAGGCTGGCTTCTTTCATATAGCAGAATACATTTAAGATCCATCCATGTCTGCGTGAATTTTAGTTCATTCCTTTTTATTGTTGAATAGTATTTTATTGTATTGGATATACCAGTGGTCAGCAAACTCGTGAGCCACATGCGGCTCTTTGGCCCCATGGCACGGGCCACGAAGTTTCAATCGCATTGTATGTGTGTGCCTGCACGTGGTATTTTGTGGAAGAGCCACACTCAAGGGGCCAGTTTGCCGACCACTGGGATATACCATAGTGTGTTTATCCATTCACCTACTGAAGGACATCTAGGACATATCCAGTTTCTAGAGATTCAGAATAAAACTGCTACAAACATTTATGTGATGGTTTTTGTGTGGATATAAATTTTCAAATCTGTTGAATATATACCTAGGAAGATGATTGCTGGATCATATGATTAGAGTATGTATAGCTTTGTAAGAAACTGTCAAACTATCTTCCAAAGTGGCTGTACCATTTTGCATTTCCATCAACAATGAATGAGAATTCCTGTTGCTCCACATCCTTTTCAGCAGTTGGTATTGTTAACTTTTTGAATTTTAGCCATATTTATGTGTGTGTTGTGGTATCTCGTTATAATTTGTGACAGCATTTTTAAAATTCCTATGCCCTCAACATTAAGCATAGTAGTAATAAGCGCTTCATTATTTATTACTTATTTCTGTTGAAAGAATGAGTGGGTAAAATAATGTTGCTGAATTTCCAAATGACTTGAATAGTCATTAGATTTCTCCTCTTTGAGAATGATACTTCTAGGCCCTGACAACATGTCTCCCATGCACAGGAATCAATTGTGTTTACATTTTTAGGGGCTTTTCAATCACAATGAATGCTTTGAGCCCTCCTGTTAATCAGCATCTCAAGCATCCAAAACCCCCCATTTCACAAACATCCAGGTTGATCAGTATTTTACTGTTTCCCTTTTTTTTTCTTTTTTTGAGGGAGGGGGAGAGAAAGAAACATAGATTTGTTGGTCCACTTATTTATGCATTCATTGATTGATTCGTGTATATGCCCAAACTGGGGATCGAGCCTGCAATCATGGCATATCGGGATGAAGCTCTAACCAGCTGAGCTACCCAGCCAGGGCTTTATGTTTCTTTAAGATCAGAATAAGATCAAAGCCTATGCTCTGGTCGTCCTATGTTCAAACCTGTCCAGGTGTGGTTGATGGTTCTTAGAGAGGCTGAGACAGAATATGCTAAGTTATGGAATAAAACAGAAATAATCAGCCGTTCCAGCCTTAGACCCAAGTTCTAGAGCAGAATTCCACAGCTGGTATATGAGTCAATGGGCTGCATGAGGTGAGACCTTAAGCCCCCCCCCCCTCAGCCTTCAGGGTGGATAAAAGCTGAGTGAAGGCCTTGGACCAGTTGCACCATGTGCCATAGAATTATCCTTTTCCATGTGTGCCATGACATGAGAGAGCCTGGGGAGTACTGCCCTGAGTCCAGGGAGCTCAGAGCTAGGTTTTTTTATTGCTCTCTAGTTTTTCCTTCAATCTCTGTAGTGTGTGTGTGTGTGTGTGTGTGTGTGGCGGGGGGGTGGGGGCGGGACGAGTAAAAGACATATAAAATTTATCATCTTAACTGCACAGTTCATTGGTATTGAATACATTCAAATCATTTTGCTACCAGTTTCACCATGAATCCCCATAACTCTTCATCTTATAAAACAGAAACTATACCTATTAAACAGTAACTCCTATTCCTCCTCCCCTAGTCCCTGGCAACCACATTTTACTTTCAATCTCTGTGATTTTCACTATTCAGGAAACCTCATATAAAAGGAATAGAATACTTGTCTTTCTATGACTGGCCTGTTTCACTTAATATAATGTCTTAAAGGTTCATCCATGTTTTAGCATGTGTTAGAATAATATTCCATTGTATGGCTAGACCATATGTTGCTTATCCATTCAGTATGCTCACCTCACTCCTTTGTCTACCTTGTTTTTCTTTTGCCTGAGTTTCCTTATGCATTTCTTCAGACAAGGTTGTTAGAAGCCTGGAGAGTTAAATAGTTCAGGTCTGAATCCTGGATCCTTGTTTTACTGATTATGAGACCTTCATAGCAAATTACTTAACTTCTCTGAGCTTTATTCCTCATCTGTGAAATGGATATGTGGTAGGTATTTAGAGTTAAACAAGACAGTAAAGAATTGGCACAGTGCCTGGCACATAATAGATGTTCAACAAATATTAGTTTTTAAAACATGCTCACCATTTGTACTTCTGAAATTTCTCATTCTTTTTGGAATGAGGTTGAGGAGAAGGAGGAATATCCTAAATTTATTAAATTAAATCTTAGAGATGATTTAACCCATTGCCATGAGTATTTTTAAGTGTCTCATCCTAGGGTGTGAAAGTGATTTTTAGACTATACTGTGCCTGGGCACCCCAAGGTTTCCTGCCTTGAAGCTCTTTGGCCCTGTGATGACAGCAGGAGCAAATCTCTGGGTGCCTGTGAGCGCTGGAATTCCTGCGCATCTGCAGGGAGGAGGCCCATTGATGGGCCTGGGTGAGCCCACAGTGCCTGCAGTGGCCACCTGGGCTGGACTGAGCTGGAGGAGTGGTGCTGCCTCTGAGGGCTCTGTCTCTGCCTTGTTCTGGCTCTCACCCACTCCTCTGCTCCCAAAAAGAGGGAGGAGGAGTTGGGAACATGTTGTCTTTGTGCTCTGCTTTTGGCCAGCTCAGTGGCACTGTGGGTGCTGGCAGTCATGCCAGGGAAAACACTGGAATTCAGAACTGCACATGGAGTGTCAAGAGAAGGTTTCTAAGTCTGTGGGAAGAGCCAGGAAGCTGACATATTTGTGTGGGCAGAGCCCTTTGCTACACAGTTTTTTAAAATCCTTTTGCTCCTGGCCAGTGTGGTTGACTGTCCTCCCAGCGCCAAAGATCGCAGGTTCAGTTACTGGTCGGGGCACATGCCATGGTTTCAGGCTCCATCTCCAGTAGAGGGCATGCAGGAGGCAGCCAATTGATGTTTCTCTCCCTCTCCCTCTCTCCCCCTTCCCTCCCCCTCCCTTCTCTCTCTCTCTAAAATCAATTTAAAAAAAACATATTTTAAAACAACCCTCCAATCACTTTAGGGAAGAAAAGAGAAAGAAAATCCTTTTGCAGACTGCAGTGTGAGAGCTTGAGACATCAACAGCAGTATTGTCAGTATTAAATGCTAAATGTTAAAGGGCTGGTTGGGGACGTTGCCCTGGCAGAGTGGTGGTGAGGACCATGTAAAAACAGTGAAGCTTGATGTATGGGGCATCAGCGCTGTGTATGCTGCTGGATCTTTTTAATAAGGATGAGATCTACCCACCAGCGGTGGTAGATCAGTTCTGTGATGGACCCTTTTATACTGGGCAGTGGAGGTGAGGACTCCCAGATGAGGACCTCTCCTGGCTCACTTGTCCATCCAGGAACGACAGCTCCCTAATGTCTCCACAGCACTTCTTTCTGTAAAGCATCCTGGATTATCTGAGTGAGTCTGGACATCTCTAATCCGAATGTCATGTGATTACAGGATCCAGTCAGAACCAAGAGCAGCCATCCAGTAGTTCTGAGGAGACATCTGGGACAGAGGAGGAGAAAGAGGAAGAGCCCAGCTTCATCATGGGGCGATGACAGTGTTGGCTACAGTGGCTTTCTGGAGCCCAGGGCCTCAGAAAATCTCCACATGACCCAAGGAGAAAGGCGACTGTTTGAACTGTCTCTCTCCCAAGGCCTCGCTGGATAGAGCCATCCTGACTGCTTGTGGCCCTGCCAGTAGGGACAGAGAAGACTGTCTCCTGGACACTCAAGGGCATTGCCAAGCGGAGTTCATTCATGTTCCCGCTTAAGGGGGGAAACATAAAACCTTCTGCCCCTGCTGTCTGTTCTCACATATTTGTACATTGATGAGTTTTGGGCTGGTATCTGTGAAAGGAATGTTTATTTATTAAAGAACAGAAAAACTTGAGGTTTTGATTGGACCTGTGAAGTGCCAAAGTGTAGGGAAGGCTGTGAAAATTAGGTGATGGAGATGAGGCCTGTTACACGGGCCTGTTCCCAGACTCATTGAGTGAAATGGCCTTGGTTCTGGAGCTGACTTGCACTGCAGGGCACCTGACCTCCATTTCCTTCAGCTGAGGGTGCAGACTGCACCTCAGAACATGTGCCCCTGCCCAGCTGCTCCCAGGACACAGGTGTGTTTTGGGAAGCCTTGGGCATATGCAAAGGGAGATGTGGTATGCAACCAGGGAAAATGATTGGAGACTAATAAAGAAGCAGGTGGAGAATCCAGGCTGGGCTGAACCAGAGTAGAGGACATGGGGAATCCTTGCCGGACTAGAAGGGGGAGGAGGTGGGAATCCATGGCCCAAAGCTGTGTTTTCATCCTGAGGTCAAGGGGGTTCTAATCAGAAATTTGAGGTTGCCTTTCAGGCAACAGGAAAGACAGAGATGGTTTCTAATTAGAGCCTTTGCTTACTTTTTGGATTATCTTCATCTCCAAGTTTCTGAGAATATCTCACTGCTTTTATGGAATTTGATAGAATTAAGGATCATGGTTTTGAGTGAATGTTTTCTTTCACTTTTATAGTATTGATTTCCCTGGCCCTGACCTGGGCCAGGTGACATTTGTGATCATTTCTGCCCTTTCAGCAGTTCAAATCACAGGAATTTTTTGGTAAACTTCCCTATTTTATTGTAATACATCAAAGTCTGGTTAATATTAAGTGATTCACAGGAGTTTTTCTTTTCCTGGAAGCTGAAATGGAAAGTCAACCCTAATAAATTAACACACACACTCTGGCCTTACATTTTGAAATCCCTGTTTCTCTTTTCAGGGACTGGCTGGTTGGTTTTCCTTATTTCCCCCCCAGAGTGTGTGTCACAGCTCTTGCTTTAAGTTCAGCCTGGATCTCGTGGGTGTTGTCTTTCTCTGCAGACTGTGGAGTGTGCAGTTGGAAGACTTGGGTTCGAGCCCTGACCCTGCCTCTGATGAGACTGGGAACTCTGGGCAAGTCACTTCCTACTTCCTCTGGTGCACCTGGCCAAGAGCTTAGTGATAACGTGTGTTGGACAGGTGGCTGGAAGGCTAAACAAATAGGATACCAGGCAGGTGTTTATGGTTCACACCTTTACTAGATTTGAGAAGATGTTTAGGTAGGATGTTTCTGACAGTTTTTAAGGGGTCATTTATTCTTTAGGTTGAATGACTCAGTTTCTCTTCTTCAGGGTACTGCTTATTTGGGAAAGAGGAACAATTAGATGCCATCAGTGAGAAAGAAGGGGGCGATACTGAGAGGATACCCCCTCTCCCCCAAAAAAAGGTCATGACTGGGGAGAATCATTAAGCAATGCCCTATGATTAGCTTGTGGATAGGAAGAAATTAACAAAGATATATATAACTTGGCTGTCCCATATGTAAGAATTCTGATTTATCAAACATTAGACCTTCGTTCACTCACCAAATACTGAGCACTCAGTGGCAGCCCTGAGCTAGGAGGCCCAGTTATTTCTATTAGAATACTGTTTGCCCTTTTATTAGAAGTCCCATATAGATTTACCAAACAAGATTTATAAACACGTCTGGAAACCAGCCCAGGTCACCCAGCAAATGAGTGGTTGAGCTGGCCTTTGGACCCACGTAGCGTGGTCCAGAATCCTTCTCCCTGGCCCCAGCCCACAGCGCTGTGCTGCCCTGGGGAAGAAGCTGTGCCGAGCCCAGACCTGGTGGGGAGGGGCTCCCAGGGCTGCTCTTGGTGCCAGGGCTGTAGGCTATAGGCCCTCCTTTAATAAGCCCCTGGTGCGTTTGTGTGCATAGTAATACAGGATGTCACTATGTCATAGTTTTAAATATAATTGATTCTCATTTTTTCACAAGTTCTATGTTTATGAACTCACCAAAATTTATTTGTAATCCCAAAATTAATACTCACGTTTTTGTGGTCATTTGCAGACATTCACAGAATGGCAAAATTTTGAGTTGCCTGATGCACACATTCCCAACTGAGGTTAAACAAGGTAGTGAGTGCTCTGCCTTCTTGTTTCAGCTCAGACTTACTTAATAACAGGTTTTTCACATTTATAGCTTATTGTTGGTGGTTTCTGTTTAAAATGTCCCCCAAATGTAATGGTGAAGTGCAGTCTAGTGTTCTTGTTTTTTGTTACTCCACCTGAGGATATTTTTCCATTGATTTTTAGAGAGAATGGAAGGGAGTGAGGAGAGACACATCAATTGGTTGCCTATAGCATGTGCCCCAACCAGGGCCTGGGATCAAGCCTGCAACTATAGTACATGCCCTTGACCAGAATCAAATCTGGGATGCTTCAGTCTGCGGGCAGATGCTCTATCCACTGAGCCAAACTGGCTAGTGTTCTTAAGCACAAGAAGGCTGCAATGAGCCTTAGCTATCCTTCATTCAGGCATGAGTTATAGCACTGTTGGTTATGAGTTCAATGTTAATGAATCAATAATACATATTGACAAAGGTGTCATTAAACAAAAACATACATAAAATAAGGTTATGTGTTGATCAGCTGATGTGATCAGGGGCTCACAGGAATCTAACCCTCTATTTCCTGATCAACAATAGAAGGCTGGGTGTGGGTCAGTGGTTGAGCATCGACCTATGAACCAGGAGGTCACGGTTTTATTCCTGGTCTGGGCAGGTGCCTGGGTTGCAGGCTTGATTCCCAATGGGGGAAATGCAGGAGGCAGCTGATCAATGATTCTCTCTCACCATTGATGTTTCTATCCCTCCTTTCCTCTCTGAAATCAATCAAGATTTTATTTAAAAAAAAACAAAAAACTAAAATACTCCAAAAAAAAATGGAAGGGAGGGGACAGGTGGGAAGTTCTTGGAATAATGTAGACTGTAGGTAAGATGGCCTGAATTAGTACAGAGGCCATGGGGGCAGAGGGAAATGGTAGTAATTCCAGAGACATTTAGGTGGGAGAATTCACAGCACTTGGTGGTAAGGGAGGAGTCAGGAATGACACCGGATCTATAGCGTCACTAGCTGGGTGGATGGTCACACAGCCCAGGAAATAGGTGATCCAGGAAGCAGAGCAAGTATGTAAGGGAAAGGAGGAATTCAGCTCTGGGCATGGTGAAGTTTGGGATACCCCTGCCAGGCTGGAAAAAGATCAGGGCTGGAGGTGATGATTTAGGCTCCTGAAACAATGGGAGTGGGAGAGACCAGTCAGGAAGAATAGAGAGGGAGACCCAGACAACCCTGAGAAACACCCGCATCTAGGGGACAGACAGAAGAGCATCCTGCACAGGGGGAAGTCAGGTGGGGTCACTGGAGCAGAAGAGGAGAGTGTTTCCAGATTTTGGAGCAGGGAGGTAACCAATGACAGACAAGGCAATGGCTGAAACACCTTCTGGATGTTGCAATACAATGTCAGCAAACTGCAGACGGCTGAGGAGGAAGTGAAGGAAGTGATGACAGCTCTCTTATCAAGTTTGGCATCAAGTGGGAAAAAATGGTGGCAGCAAGGGGTCAAGCTGAAGAGGAAAGGAGACTGAGAGGGAGAAAGTGGGTCCCAGCAGGTCAAGGAAGAGAGGCAGTGGTTTGAGAACTAAGTGAGAAAGAGTCAGAAAGCGGGATATTTGAATGTGAGATTTCACAGAGGGTGATGACAAAGAATAGGCCGTAAGAGTGAATGGCTAAGGGGACTGGATATACACTGTTTACACCAGCCGTGTGGCCATTGCGGTTTGATAAGATCTGGGGTGGAGAGGAAAGTAGGGACCTTAGTGTTCACTGAGCGACGGGTGTCTGTTGAAGAGGAAAACTAGCATATGGCTGACCCCAGAGGTGTGCCTCAGAGAGCTGGCCTTTTGGGGTGACTTAGGCCTTGGGGGAGGAAGCAACTTGCCAAGGTCAACCAACTAGGAAAATAGCCCCAAACATCTGCTGGGGAGCTGGTACTTGTGGACCTTTAACTGAACCTCCTAACCCCTCCATGTAACTCCCATTCAACTACCTGGGCACCTGAGGGGCCCTCCAACGATTAGTACTGTGACCATTCAATCTCCTTTCAGCCCAGCCGGTGTGGCTCAGTGGTTGAGTATAACCTATGAACCAGGAGGTCATGGCCCAATTCCTGGTCAGGGCACATGCCCAAGTGGCCGACTCGATCCCCAGTGTGGGGGTGTGCAGGAGGCGACTGATTGATGATTCTCTCTCATCATTAGTGTTTCTATGTCTCCCTCTTCCTCTCTGAAATCTCCTTCATCTGGTGCCTTCATCTTCCTCAATCTTTGAGGGGCGGGGCAAGGAAAAGCCATTTTCTGTGTTTGGTAGGAAACTAACTCTGAAAAGCACTGGTAATTATTTTGTTTTTGTCCAGTCATGCTGGATTAATGTGCTTGGGGTGGAGGCATCGCTGACTAGCATAGGAATTTTTGCGAAGGTTGTGCATTCTGGCTTCAAGGCTGAGAACTCAACAAGCAAATGACTCTGCTGCTGAAAGAATTCTCATCTATGACACAACTACTGTAGTTTAGTGTTTTTCTTCCTGTTATTTTTTTTTTCCAGGTCATTTTATGAAGAGCTTTGAGGTTTGAAAGCCACAGCATGGTTGCATTTGGGGGATTTTGCCCCTTTCCTGTAGCCATGGAGGCAAGGCAGTAATCAGTCCCCAGGATTTTCCTATAACCTTTGTTAGGGCAATAACCAGAGGGGGAACTGGCTTAATTTGTTTTGTAAGTGTCCTCCTGGACCAAAAGATATTATTTTTTTGGATAAGTGTGTCACGGTTCAGTGCTGTGTGACAGATGGAAAAATCCTATGTAGGGCATGGAGGAAGGACTCCGAGGGGCCGTCTGGCAGGCAGGCTGATATGAACCCATCTCGCCTGGTGGTTCCATTCATGTGCACTTCCTGAAAAGAATGGCCCTGTTGGAATATCTAGATTGTAAAATCGGAGAGTTCGCCATTGCGGATGAGAGGTTCCCTGCAGCAGCGGATGGAAGGGGCTGGGTCTACGCGGAGACATTTTCGCCCCAGGTGCCTTACATCTGAGAACACTAGAGCTCTCCGCGCGCGTGCTCACCAGGGTTGAATCCCGAGCGTGCGGCAGCCGGGCTAGGTCCCCGCGGGTTTCACAGGGCCTGGGGGCCGGGTGTGTGGGGGGGTGCGCCCTGGGTGACCACCTGACAGCTCCAGCCCGCGTATGCCACCGCCCACCCAGGCAAACTCGCGCGTGGCTGTCTGGGACCTTCCCAGTCTGCCCTTCCACCGTGTCCCCACGTTCTTCCCCTCACTCCTGCCCGCCCTGTAGTCACAAAACGGGATCCCTGGGTGCGCCCTTTTGGCCTCTCCCCATCCTCCTTACGGCCAACGATCGGTCCTGGGCATCCTCCGGGACTGACCCTGAAAACCATGGGGTCCTATTCTGCGCTTAGACCCACACACCGCGGGCAAGGCAGGCCCCACCTGCCCTGGACTTGCTGGCCAGACCAAGGGTCAGACAGCGCAGCCTTATTGTCCTGTCACTGGGGCTCAGGGAGGCTGGCCTGGGGGCGGGAGAGCGAGGGATGCCCGGCTTCCGGCTCGCCCGGCCGCCGCTGCGCCCATCCCTGTCCACTGCTACCCGGGGCGCGCCCGGGGACCGAGAGATGCGCTCCCTCTGAGGGTGCTCGGGCCTGGGCGGGAACAGAGTCCAGCCGCCAGGGCTCCCTGGGACCCCCAAGGAGGGGCTGCGAGCCCCGCCC